CATCTTGCAACCAACGAAATTACTGCAACATGCACCTTCGATTGCTCCCGAACCGAATTCCTTGGAAAGTTTCTGATCACACAGTAAGGCCTGCCCACGTGGGGCAAAAATGCGAGTGACAGGTGATACAATGCAGCAAAAAGGTAAAAGTGATGCAGGCGTGCAGGCGTGCAGGCGTGCAGGCGGCAGACATCATAGGATATAACAGGGCAGTAGGAAACTGCTAAATGTTTGATTTACTAAACAGAGCAATGATAACAATAGCAACTCATAAATACGAGAAGGACGTTTAAACCAAGGAATGAACTTGGTAAGCGGTATACGAAGATCCCCCTCGTTCTGTTAATTATTAATGAATGACATTTCCTATCTTCGTAAACATGCTAACCTCATATATGTTATTGGTTCGAGTAGTGATTTCTTGTGTAGCATCGGGGTATATACAGAAGCTAACCTTTCGCCGAGTGAGAACAGTCATACGAACATCATAATTACTTGACATGGTAAAAATCAATTAGTAAGAATAAGCAATTCTAATCGGAATGCCCAAATCCCTATTTTGCATACCACACATGGTGCAGTGGGAATCTAGAAGTCAATGCTATTGTTGTTTACGATTTAATGTCTCGACAAATGCTTGCTATACCGTCATAATCGAGTTTGTATTTATTACTATTACTGGGTAAGAAAAATATGAGGCCCAGAAGTTTGGCCTTCCCTGGAAATCCTTCGATTAGCCTATGAACAGATATAAATATAAAGGGGTGGGTGGAGGAAATAGAATTCTATTTGTGTATGTTTCAATATGACTCAAAAAGCTGCAGCAAAGATTTTTGTGAAATCGTTTTTTCTTGTTGCACAATTATGTTATGTACTACTGTTATGTATTTAATAATTAATAGATCAGTGCCGTGTTGAACCACTAAAAAGGAAATAGTTTCCACTATAATATCTTCCCTCCACAACTTCTCACCATCGCTCTCTCACTGCATCTATACTGAACCTACCTTTAATACCGTACTTCACATAATACCATGGCCGTGTTTGCTAAATCAAGAGGAGGTCTACCGGGTGGCCGGCATAAGAAGAAAAATGGTAACGTTAATCACTACTCGAGAACCCTTACATGACCCGTTTACTCGCTCTCATCACTCGTAACCATCTATTTTAAACAATCCGCATCTCTCTACTTATATTAATCTGTAAAATGACATTCAACTACTAACAGACTTAATACTTGGACTAACGAGGAAACAACTATCACTTCTCGTTCTCGTGATTCAAAACTCGACTCTGGTGCTAATGATGAGATATTCGAGAATCAGACAGAAACCGGGGGAAAACATGTACATAGCGTCAACTGCCGTCTTTCTTGCAGAGATACTGAAAATTATAGCATGTTTGGGTGTCATGTGGTATCAGGCAGCTTCATTCGAAACATTTGTCCATACTGTACAGACCGAGATCTTGGGCAAACCAAAAGAGGTAGTAAGAATGTTAATACCATCGGGATTATACGCACTACAGAACAACCTCCTTTACGTCGCCCTGTCCAATCTGGAAGCTGCCACGTTCCAAGTCACGTATCAAATGAAGATTCTATCCACGGCCGTGTTTTCCGTGATTCTGTTGCAGAAATCACTCAACCGAGGAAAATGGTTTGCACTAGTGTTGTTGATGATTGGCGTAACTCTGGTACAATTGCAAACCGTGAGTACGGTCAAGGTTGTTCCTGCGCCCGTCGCCGGTGCTCACGTTCCCTTACCCAAAAACGAAGAAATGGTTGATGGTGGTAAACTTGGGATTGCAAAAGATCCAATGTCGCCAACCGAACTCCTCTTGGCCGCTCAGAATCCACTCATAGGTCTTATAGCTGTTATTACCTCTTGCATATCATCAGGATTTGCTGGCTGTTATTTTGAAAAGATTCTCAAGGGCTCGCCTACGAACATGTGGGTACGGAATATTCAATTGGGTATATCTGGCGCATTATTCTCTTTCCTTGGCATGGTGATTTATGATCGCGCAGAGATCTTGGAGGGAGGGTTTTTGCAGGGCTATGACAGCCTCACTTATATGGTAGTTGCTAACCAGGCTCTAGGTGGATTGCTTGTTGCGATCGTCGTCAAGTATGCTGATAATATTCTCAAGGGCTTTGCGACGTCATTGTCTATTATTATCTCTGGTATTATTAGTTCGTACTTCTTCGACTTTCACCCAAGCTCGCAATTCACCATCGGAGCAGTAATTGTCATGGTATCAACATATCTTTATGGTCAAGAGAGTAATAATAAAGAGAAAACCAAACCGGTGAAACGACATGACGACCCAGACGAAGGTTCTATCTCTCTCTTGATGCTTAAGGATTAGCTATTCCTCTTCATTTACTATTATTATTACTGTTATATTTCTTTCTGTGTGTTATTTATTATATGAATGTGCTTACGGGAGCAAGTTGTTGGTGCACTGTGTAAAAGTATTTGGACATTTTTTTTAAATAACTTAATTCTAGCGTCAGGGTTAAAAATAATCAATTGCGTACTCGTATTTTACAAGATTCCTGTGTATAGAACTCTTTCACCACTATGACAATCAATAAATCATTGATAGATTGATAGACAAAATCGGGGTTGGTTGCCAAAAGATAACAACTGCTATTGAACAATAACAATCGCTCTTTCTGATATGTCGGGTATCGTTTATTGTAATAAGGATCCTTTTCCGAATTTATACAAATACACAAAAGTAACGCGATGCATTATTAAGCGATAATCATCATTGCAGAAAATCACGCAACTTTCAGACCGTTTAGTTTGCACTTGTTAGAAGATGTTGACGCGGACACGCTAGGAGAATGCATTCGTGTAGAACAGCTTACAGAGATGCATTATTTGCTCCCTCCCCTTGCTTGTTATTCGCTGGTTGACTAGTAAAACGATTTGTGTATAACAATTTTGTTATACAGTACACAATAAAACGCGTGCAGGTCAGCAAGAATTTCGGACAATTTTGCAAGAGACAGCTCGGCCATTATATACATGAAATGCTAGTGTCAGCGTAAGTGATATCGTCTTGTCCATTTATTGTCTAAAAGTTAAACTTGCCCTTCCTCACAAACACCGAATTTAAGTCAATCGACATTAGATAAGGTTGTACGACATAATCTGCTCATGGCCTTGTTAACCTTTAGACTTCATAGACCGAAGTTTGTCTTTCTGCGTTGGTTCAGCACCGCAAACGTTCATCAACGTAGCAATACGACAAGAGTAACAAAAGGCGCAAAGATAAGAACTGGTGGGAATTCAGCATCGAGTCTTTCAAGTATATCAAATCGGAAGAAATTCCGAGCGACAACATTTTCCACATCATTACTTTCACAAATCGAGGCCCTTGGGCTCGCCAGACCACTTACGGTCTCTGGCAAGTATGGGAACAAAGTGGCGATAAACCATAAGACAAAAGTTTTAGAAAACTTAAAGAAGGTTGATATTGATCGGGAAAGGCTTGAGGTATGATTTATTTTTTTATTTAGTACAATCTTTGTTACTATCAAGACTAGGCACTTTATTAATTTGTATGTAATCAAGTTACCACACTTTTATTTTTTTGCAGGAGCAAAGACTCCAACTTCGTTCCCTGCCCCAGATTTACCCGAATTGGCCTTTGTTGGTACGACGTCGCTTTCTCATCCTAATGTTGTATCCTACTCATACTTCACGTATTCTTATGTCTCATCTCGTTTGGCAAAGGTCGATCGAACGTAGGGAAATCTTCCTTGATTAATGCATTAGGCGATAGTCGCAGTGCGCGTACGTCGACCAAACCGGGATTCACGCAGCAGATTAACTTCTACGCTGTTGGATCATTATTTAACATGGTAGATATGCCCGGTTACGGATTCGCCTATGTTAAAGAAGAGGAGAAAGCCAAGTGGAAAGAATTGGTCAGTAATTGGTTTGTGGGGTTTTAAAAATTGCCTTGTTTTTGATTCGCTATATTGCATTTATATTAATGAGCAGATAGAGTCCTATATATCTCAGAGGGAACTGCTGCTAAGAATTTATGTGCTTTTGGATGCGAGACATGGTCCGAGTGTTTCTCTTTGCAAATAATTTGGTTATTTCGGGACAATTGTTGACACTTTTTTTTTTTGTAATAAGGAATCAAGTTGATAGATAAAGAGTTTCTACGAACCCTGGAACAGTCAGTTCTGTCTTTAATATTTTACGGAACTTTTTTTTTCCTATTGGACTTACTCTTGACAACTTTCTCTTATTTCCCCCTGTAGACATCAAGTTGCATTTCAAGTAGTCCTTACCAAGTGTGATCTTGTGACTGCAGTTGATCTTGCACGCAGATATGTACTTGTTGAGACGGAGCTTGCAGAATTCCGTCATGCTGTGGACAAGCCGTTAATGGTCTCGTCTGAAACAAGCGCAGGCATCTTCATGATGAGAAAAGAGATGTTGCGACTGGCAGGTGGATTAGATCGTGCTCGTAAGTTTGCAAGAAGAAATAAAGTATCTACAGAAGACGCTGTGGATAGTCCACGAGCAAAAAAAAAGGGGGAAGAATGTATTAGCCAGAATAAAAGTAAAAATACGAATAAAGCACGTCGTTAAAACGGAGATTCTTCGTGATTTATTTGGCCACTGACTTGATCTCTAAAAATTAAAAGTTCATGGCTATGACTAATTGTTTTAATAATAGCATATACTGTAAGCGCTACAAGCCTTTCCTAATACTAAGGCAATTGGTTCATTATATGGCAAGGATGTGCAATATAGAAACATCATCTGTGAACACACGAGCTGGTAATTGTTATTACAGGCACCAACTTGGACACGAGAGAACCTAATTATTAATAGGGAAATTGAGTAAAAGATGGTATATGTAGAATATAAACTCTTTGGCATACTACAACATTTTCATTATCAATGCTCCTTCTATGCAAATAACAATGAAATAGTAATATGTTCGATTGTGACGCTTACATACAAATTGACTTTGCGGTCAGTCACCTAGCATTTATTCGCGACTGTTACTACTAAAGAACGCGAATTTCATCGTTTCTCACATTCCTAATGTATTCGACATAAAGCATTATTAATGGACACGCAAATACGATAGACGTTACTTTCAACTAATGGATGGAGAATACTAACGAAAAATTGAGACGCGAAATAAATCAACTGTGTGAGTAGCAATTTAAAAAAAAGGCAAAGTCTTGAAAACGTTAACAGACGACGCACTCATTATTATTATGCTCAAAATTTATAATGGTAAATCTCACGCGAGCGACAAGTTTTATCACAACATATGTCGACAGTTCCTAAAACTGGCATCGAACTACGCACGGCATAACAAATATTATTTACAAATAAAGAAGCGGGGATGGGGATCATGACACAGATTGTAGCGCTCAACCAGTTTGAAACCCTGTTCGGTTTTTTGCCGAGTTATAACCGATAGGAATTTATTACTGGTTATATGCGCTCAGTGTCCAACCAATCCAGTACATACAATCCATAGTTCAGTAGTTAGAGAACTCGTATCATTTTTTTTTCATATTTATCACGTGATATTTAGCTTTCCGCATTGAGAATTAAAACATGCATCCATGATTAACAGACTACGCCCAGTTGAAATCGCGATTCGTGATAGGTTCGTATCCACATGAAATGTTTTAAAGCATTTCGAATTCTGGTTTCCCAGGGTCTAGCGATAAACTTGGGTACTCAATTGTGTGCAGAATCTTTCAAGTAATAAGCGTTCTGTGGTTGTTACTTGTAAAGTCTTTTTATAATTGCGCGCTGTTTGGCCGCCAAATGAGTACAAAGATGGCGGCAAGCAACTATGAGAGCTACGTTGAAGAGCTTTCAACAAACATTCTCTGTCTGGTATGTATGCGCTTGGACCTGGTTTGTGCATAACTATATAAGCTCGACAAAGTCCAAAGCTGTAACACCTCAACGATCGTATAATGTGTCTTTTGGATAAATATATGCTATATAATTCAGATCGTGTTTCTTAACCCTTGTTTTGATATTTAATGCCACGTTTAGTGCTCACAAATGCTAGCAACACTAAACATAACGTATTCTTTTTTTTGACATACAGGCTGGCCTGGCGAAGGTCAGCTATAAAACCTTCACTTACACAAGTTCCACGGAAGATCTACAACAGTTCTGGAAGATAACAACAGGACTGCCCTCAGAGTCCCTCGAAGGGATTTCCGATCCATTAATAAGGGCTTATGTTAGTCTACTCGCTGCAGGGGTTCCATGCGCATGGCGATGGCAAGGAGACTATAATTTTCTCTCGTTCGGAGAACGTCTGAATTGCACAAGAGAGCTCTGGGTATTTTGGTTGAATCAAGGCAATAATAGGTGGATGGATTCCGTCCAGGCATTAAAGGGTAAGCACCCATTAACGTACAAATGATAATAGACGTTAGAATGATTGATGATAATGAAGTGTGAGGTGGCGATGGGAGCTTTTGAGTTATGAGGACTGATAATGACTAGCATTTGAATGTGAATGTAAGAGAGTTTAATGCAATAATTGAATGGCAGACTCGGATGCTTTAGTTCTTAGTTACAAAGGGGTTATAAGAGGTGTGATTATTATCGAACGAATACTAACATAAGCCTCGTGTTTATTGATTTATATCATGCATTGTTATAAACAGAGGAGAGCGAAGGGTGTTTTTCTTTTGAGGATCTTGAATCTTCAGGCCTTCAATATCGTCTTTTCGTAAGATCGTTGAGGAATCTCATCAGCCGGTAAGTCAGGGTTATTTGCACGATAGATTAACAATACGTGATTTAAAATATTAGACCGGAGAATTGCGTCAATATTACAGGCAAAAAAAAAATCTACTAAATCTTAAATTGGTTTATATGGTTATATCATATTGCTAATTGATTACAATGATTGACAACTTTTTTTTTCCATTCAATAGGGGTTTAACGAGACACGGTTCTATTCCTCTCGGAGAGTGGCATTTAGTTTTATCCTCCCTGGACAAGCCCATTTCCGAAGGAATGCCAGCAGTCCGTGTAAACGTTAATTTATCATCAACAAATCTGCTTGTAGCACCCTCCATAGTGATACGGCATGTTCGGCCGCTAGAACTTTCGGACCTCAAAAAAGATGGAACACGGGTACTGTTGGCTCCTCTCGGCATAGAAGGATCTATTGTGGGTAGTGGCGCGTCTATATTGAAAGAAGAAGCTTCTGCAATTCTTGCTGAATTTCAGACACTAGCCGGATTGTCTTTTTCCAAATTGAATTTACCGTGCAAGTCCGATCTTCCCACATTCTGCATTGTGCGCTTGGTTGTTGGCGACGTCACGAAGGAAATCCCATATCCAACCTGTGCCACTTTCGCGATATCAGGGGTTAATGTAAAGGATCAGACACGTTTGGCCGGGATTGGACACAAACTTAGCTGCTTGGAGCAAGACTTTCGGGATCAAATTGGAAACTGGCTTCGGATCTGCTTGGAGCGTGGCGTGCCGACGACGCCGCATCCAAACAATGAGAAACTCCACAAGTGGAACATTCAAGAAAGTCAAGCCTTTTCAAAATATTCACTCTCGCTTAAACAATTCGACGACTCGGTATTACCGGACGAGGCAACAAAGATGGATTTCTTCAAGAGTGAACGTCCTTGGAGAAGAGAAGCACTTGCAAAGGTGAATCTTGATACTCAACCTCCATCTAAATGGTATCAATACGAAGGAGCTGTATATTATGTAGAGAGAGAACGCCGAAGATACGGAAGCCGACCGGGGACCGACTTGACATACGCATATAATCAGAATTCTATTGGCCCTGAGACGACAATGACCCCAAACACGCCAGGGATGGCAGGTAGTTCTTTGAATATGAAGTCACCAAGACAGCCGTTAACGCCTGGACCATCGAGAACTGGGACGCACTCAACGCCGAACGACCAAGAACTACCCGCTTATCCATCCCCCCCAGACGTAGCCCCTTCTGACGAACCATCGACGAGCCCATCGATAATTCCTGCAGACAGCACACGAATACTGAACGAGGATGCATCGGCAGTTGTGGGTGTCTCTGATTACCACTTTTCGGATTCAGATGGGAATATTGAAGACGAAGACTTCGACTGGTTCGACGACCCGACTCCGGCTCCACCATCGACAACAATTGACACGCCCGCGGTTATACAAATATCAACGCCGCAAAAAACTGAAGAAGTACGGACAATAGAGCAATTGACATATGTTCCAGGGAAACCGAGACCTTATACACCTCCTGAATATACGCCACTTACGTTCAACTATTCTGTGGACAGTTCAAAATATTTGAGGGATATATTTAACAATCCGCTGAAGAGAAAACGAGAAGACGACGAAACCGTATCTGACTCGTACAACATGGACAGTTTTTCCTATACGCCTTCCTACGTACCAGAATGCTTTAGAAAAAAACAAAAAGTTGACGAGTCAGAAGATACGGCTGAAGATGCGGTTGAAGATACAGACAATGAGAATGCTGAAGATACAGACGGAGATACGGACGAAAGTGCGAGCGAAGATACAGAAGATGATGCAGAAGAAATATCCGACTATACAGACATTATTTATTCAAAAAAAGAAGATTCACTTGACGCATCAGATATAGAAGTTGAAAGTTGGGCGCTGAGCTGTTCCGAAGACGAAGAAGAGCATAAGGAAGAGTCCAATCATATTCGTAAGCTTCAAATGGAAAATTGTAGTAGATTTATAATGATGTTTGATTATCAACTGCTTGAAGAGAAACTACTAATATCCGAGTCGCGTAATGCGCCCAAGAGCAAGGAAGAAGAATCACGAAAATTCTGCGAAGCAAGTGCTTGTTTGAGAAAACAAGTGGTGCTTGCACCATACCCGTTTGCCGGAGAATATAAGACCGGGGAGACTACGCGAGTAACACTAGAGAGAAATCGACTGGCTATGGAGGCTGTAAAGGGCGGAGTAAAGTCAACGGTTGCACCGCCAGCCGAGGCAGCAGGGGTATTTAATTTAATGGTCGATGTATTAAAAGACATGTCTGAAAGTATAAAACCTTCGGAGCAGATGTCAGATGTATCTGTACGTGGACCTTTGACTATTTCCGAGTTTCAAGCCCTCAATGAGCAGCATCGATATCCAAATTCAAAGTTTATTTCGAAAACAAAGCAACCGGAACCAAATCTCCAAACGCTTGGCGAGCCACAAGTGACAATAGCCTATGATAATGACGATATAGTCTGCGATCGAGCTATTCTCAAAAATTGGACGGAGCAAAAACTAAAACCGCTTGGGGGAAAGAAGGACATTCTTTGGTTTGCTGTATACCCAGCGACTCATGCAATCCGGAAAAAGAATGCTGACAACAGGGATGTAATTCGCTATACGATGCGCGATAAAGTAAAAGAGTTTTGTTGCAATGTTGGTGCTTGTTATGAAGCATGTAATCTTGGTAAACATGTTGCAGGTGATCTTGCAAAGAGAGATGAAAATTTAGGGCTTCATAGCGCGGCCAAGTATTTGGAGAAGGACATTACATACACAGAGAAGATAGTGAGATTCACGCAAGAACGTGAAGCAGCTGAAGAAGAGCGTCGACGAAAAAGAGATCGTGCAAAACATGAAGGTGACAAGAGTTATCATGATGAGACTGACGCTCAGATTTATGAAAGAGTCCAGAAGAGTATTACACAAAACAATCCGCATAGAGGATTATACGAAATTTCAGATGGTAAGATACTAGTTTCGTTATCCTATTGGTGATTTTACTGAAATGGAATAATAAATATGCATCGGGGTTGCTAATGATTGTTTTCCTTATTATATGTAAACCAGCATCTCGCAAACAACCCGCGGAGCCCATAGTCGACGTGTACATAAGAGAGTCTGCCGATATAGGGAAAGAGTTAGCTCATCCTATTTTCAGAAGGAAAGGAAAGGACATTGTCATATACTTTGTCAATATATTTACACATACCACTGCCTATCTCGATATTTGCAAGTGTTTTATTGCCCTTAAGGAATCCTTGTGCGAAAGCCTCAAGAAACGTGGATACCAACCAAATGTTACGCTTCAGATAGTTCCCATTGAACACGTTCTACATCACAATACCAATTTCGATAAACTAAAGTCGGGCTGTGAGGAAATTGCATTCTCGGTATATAATAGAGCTATGCTAGCATTGGTAAGTTTGGGAGACTGGTATTATATGGGAAATTTTTGTTTTCGTTGGAATTCTAATGCTTCATTATTCCTTGATAGGCACTGCCATATGAAGTTGGTGATGAACCTGCAGAAAAGTCTGTAAAGGCGGTGAACATTGAGAATACAGATCCCAGACACCCGACGATAGTATATGCAAATGAAACCCTCCACGTATCATATGCATTCAGTTTTGATCGTCAGTGGATTGTCTGTTTATGGACAGATGACAAGGGGCGTCACTTGGAGAGTTGTAACCTGCCATCGAAGGGAAGGAAAATCCGAGAGTTGCTAAACGATATATGGAAGAGGACCGTTCATGAAGTTAAACCGCGTTATGCATTTACTGCATCGCAAGTTTTGGTATGCAAACTTGGAGAGATGAACAGAGAAGAACGTGATGGTGAGTCAATGGGTAAATGAGGCGTGAGGTTGCAATTTACTATTGGCGAGGTTGACTGCTTGTTTAAATGATTTACGGTTCAATGGTCATTAACCGTTCTTATGCCCATTTTGTAATTTAGCCTGGTTGCAATCCAATGCAGATAGCCAGTCACAATGGTCCTTGTTACTTGTCTGTGTCGATATACATTCCTGTCTCGATCTTATGCCAGTAGAAGGGATAGTACTCCATGTCGATCCTGACCGCACGCCAGCCGAAGAAGGAAAAGTACTCCAAGGGGCTGGCCGCAAAGTATCAGGCATGGTACTAAATCATCCGATCCCCATTAATGACATGCGACCAGCGGCAAGTGGGTACATTCTAGAGACATTCCGAGGCAGTCGTCCATCAACTGCGATTAAAGTCACTTTGATGAATAACCCGACAAATAATTCGACAAACAATTCGGCAAACGTGCCGACAGATCGTAAACCATCAAAAGTTCTTTGGGATATAATTCGCAAATATAATCGACTCGGATATGTAGATTCCACTCCTTTGAAGACTCCGAACATTATTCCAAATCATTTATTAGTAACAGAACGAATGATGCGAGTGTTTACAGATATCCCAACATGCTGAGATGGGAGGAGATAGATGGACGGCAGTTTTTACATTGATGTTTAGTATATTTAGTTTGGTAGTTTAATTTTTGCCTTGTATCTTAGCTACTGTAAAGTTTAATATTTGGATTTTTTTTTAAAAAAAAACAAACATTCCGACATGTGTATAAAGCATGTTTTAATGTTGCTGCAACAAATATTGTATATATCAATTAATTAAGGATTAGAATAGCACTTTTCTATACCACCTACGTCATTGATTATCCCAATTTTGCTGTTATATCCATATTCTTTCTTTTATTATCTTTATTATTGCGAATTCGTATATTTGTATACTATTCCGTTTGATTGTAAATGTCATAGGACTCGCGAGTCTCCAATAAAGATAAATGGTATTACCTAGATATATGGGCGAGTCTGAAACAACTGCAAGAGGTAAGAGATTTTCCCGTGCGAAGATCAATCTATAAGATATGCGCGTTTCGAATTCGACGTTTGAAGTCTGTGATGTAAAATAAGCGTAGGTATTAACTATTTCAAACACAAAAAACAAAGTACTGTAAATACCTAACTGCATTCTCGTTTTGCTAATACTTTTCGGTTCAACAGTTTATTCGTAGAGCGAACATCAATTCAAAAGATTTTGTTAACTGCGCCTTATGATAGCTATACTAACTACAATGCAGTTAAAATAGAATAATTAATTCAATGTGTTAGGTTTTATTATAATAAAACATTACTGCTTAACTACAAATAAGGGGGAGCATCGACGGGCAGTCATTTCACCGACAAAATTTCCCCAACATTATTTCGGTTATCCTTTTTTGGTAGTTTTTATCGGTGAAATGTACCTGTCGGGTATATGATTGTCGGGTATATGATTGTCGGTGAAATGAACCGAAGGTCTATGACAAACCATATACATTGTGAAAGGAGTATAATCTTGAAACTGTAAGTTTATCCAAGAATGTGAATTGTTAACATTATTATAAGATTGGGTGCGCCGTAGAGATCTACGCTAGACATTATTACTTATTATTGTACTCGCGCGATGTTCGAGGTCAAAATAATCCAAAGTTCATTGACCCTGACAACAAGAATACGGTATCTTGTTAACTCATCCGTATTGACATATTTAATTTATTTAATTGGAAGAAAAAAAAGTTTATTCAAAGAATGTTTGGGTCACTAAATCATAAGAAATGGGCGAGGTTAATATTGTACATTGACTTCAGCAATAACCGTTGTCGTTTACATACCTGCAGCCGAGTCCATATCATAGCTATTTCTCGGTTTAGGCAAATCTCCTGTA